AGATATTATGGACTAGTAGGAAACAAATCAACAATACGGTTTCATTATAATGAGCTAGAATTGTAAACTTGAAAAATTCAGAAATGTACATCTAAACCAAATTAAAAGTTGGTAAGGATCATTTTGTTGAGCTTTTCAGCTCCATGTGGGGAGGCTCATATAGAAGTGGAGGGTGTGCCCAACATGCCTGAAATTCCTGATGCTAGACTCCCCCTGGTAAGTTTGATGCTGCCCAATGTGCCTGGACTCCCACAACCTGATTCAATCTCCCACTTTCCATATTCTGTTTCCCTGTAGGCCTGGGCACAGGCCTACTTCTTCTCTGGGCACCCCAGACCTCTGGACTACCCTCTTGGCCCAGATCCCCCTACTGTGTCCTGATCCTTTGTACCCAGACCAAACCAAGTTTTCTGTCTAGTTACCTAGACCCTTAAAAGCCCGTCTTCACCCCCAATTTGCCCTTGTATACCTGAGACCCGGCTTCTATTCTGGCTGTCCACAACCATAGCTTGCCTGGGATTCCTGAGACCAGCCTCGTTTCCCTGACCAATCTGAGTTTGCCTGAATCCTACCTCTACCTAGCAAGTTACCCAAATTGTACTGTGTCTGCTGACTAGAGGGACCCAGACCTTAGGAGGAACGTTAACAGCATCTGATCCTCATCTGACTTGGGCCTCTGTGGGAACTCCTTAGCAGCTGGACTAATGCCATCAGGCCCCTCCAATATAAAATCAAAAGAGAGAACCTGAAACCTAGACCAACCAGCTTTTCATACCCAATAAGAAAACAACGAAGGCACATAAAATATACAAACAGAAACAAACCTAACCTCAACAAAGGAAGGCTTGAGTCCCATCCAAGAATCAGAAGCTACAAAAGAAATTCACATGCCAAAGTCGGAGCAAAAAAATAATAACATGAAATACTCAAATAATATGTCCCTACCAAGCACCAATAGTCCTGTAGAGGAGGTGTACAATGAGAACCCTCTAGAGATAACACAGGACACAGAATTCAAAAGAACAGTTATAAACATGATAGAAGAATTCAATGAATTTACACAAACAAATCAAAGAACTGAAAAAAGATAGGGATAAACTTCTGAATGAATTCACAAGAGTTAGAAACATTGAAGAAAACAGGCTGAAATGAAGAAGGAAGTGAAACACTTTATAAGCCAATTAGAAATGACAGGAGAAAGCCTCACCAATAGAATGAATGAAATGAAAAATGGACTATCAAGACTGGAAGATAAAGCTGATGATCTAGGCCACTCAAGCAAAGATTATGAAAAATTTAAGAAAATACAAGAATGGAATGCAGGAAATGTGTGACAACATAAAAATACCAAATTTATGCATTATAGGCACAGAGGAAGGAGAAGAATCTCAGGATAATGGTATGGACCAGATCCTCAACAGGATTGTAGAAGAAAATTTCCCCAAATTAAAGAAAGACATGCCTGAGGCTGGAAAGATGGCTCTGTGGTTAAAAACACTGACTGTTCTTGCAGAAGACCTGGATTCGATTCCCAGCACCCACATGGCAGCTAACAACTCTCTGCAACTCCAGTTCCAGGGGATCTGACAGCCTCTTCTGTCCTCCACAGGCATTGCACAACAGGGGTGCACTTACCTACATGTAGGCATAGCACTCACACACATAAAATAAAAATAATAAATAAAATATTAAAAAAGAAAACATAACATCTGAAGTAACTTAAAAAAAAAAGAAAGACATGCCCATACAAATAAAAGAAGCACTTAGAACACCAAATAGACAGGACCAGAAAAGAAACTCCACAGCACATCATAGTAAAAACACTAAATGTACAGAACAAAGAGAGAATACTGAAAGCTGCAAAAGAAAAATAAGTCACATATAAAGGAAAACTCATCAGAATTACAGCTGACTTTTCAGAGCAAGCTATGAAAGCCTAAAGAGCTTGGACCAAAGTATTCTTAGTTCTAAATGACCACAGATGCCAACCCAGAATAGTTTACCTGGAAGAAATGTCTATTATAGTAGAAGGGGAAAGAAAAAATTGTCCATGACATAAATAGGCTGAAAGAATTCATGTCCACAAAACCAGCCTTTCAGAGAATTCTTGAAGCAAAGAGCTGAAGAAAGGAACAACTATACCCAAGGGGTAACAGAAAGAAACTAAATGAAGATATAACCATGGAAATGCACAGTTAGACCAAGAATGCAAATAGAAATCAAAATGACAGGAATCAATACACATCTTTCATTAACAACATTAAATATCAATGGATTGAACTCCCCAGTCCAAAGACACAGGCCTCTTAAATGGATTAAGAAACAAAATCCATATTTTTGTTGTTTGCAAGAAACCCATCTTACTTTCAAAGACAGGCACTATCTTAAGGTGAAAGGATGGAAAATAATATTCCAAGCAAATGGTACTAAGAAAAAAGCAGGAATTGCAGTTCTAATATCTGACAAAATAGACTTTAAACTATAATCAGATGAGATAAAGAGGGCCTCTTTACTCTGATCAAAGGAAAAATTGACCAAGAAGATATTACAATTATGAACACATATGCATCAAACTCTGGTTCATAAAAACAGTACTACATGACTTCAAATCCCAGATTAATCCCAGCTCATTAATAGTAGAGGACTTCAGTACCCCATTGTCTCCATTAGACAGGTCAATGGGACAAAGAATAAATAGAGAGGCATCTGAATTAAGTGATACCATACATCAAATGAACCTAACAGACATCTACTGAATATTCCACCCAAACACCAAAGAATATATTTTCTATTCAGTGCCCCACGGAACTGTCTCCAAAATCGACCACATACCGGGGCACAAAAAAGGCCTCAACAAATACAAGAAAATTGAAATAATTCTGTGCATTCTATCAGACCACAGTGCAATAAAGCTTAAAATCAACACTAGAAGAAGCCTTAGTAACCACATGAACTCATAGAAATTAAACATACTCCTGAATGATGAATGGGTCAAAGGAGAAGTTAAGAAAGAAAAGTATTCCTGGAACTAAATGAAAAGGACAATACAACAAAACCTGTGGGACACTTTAAAAGCAGTCCTTAGAGGGAAATTTATACCTCTGAGTGCCTACATTAGAAAAATCAGAAAGAACACAAATAAATGACTTAACAATGTAACTCAAGACACTTGAAAAGCAACAACAAATGAAACCGAAACCCTGCAGACAAAAAGAAATACAAAAATCAGAGCAGAAATTAATGAAAAAGAAACAGGGAAAACAATAGAAACAATCAACGCATCCAAGAGCTGGTTCTTTGAAAAGATAAACAAGATAGACCCTTAACCCAGTTAAACAAAAGAAAGAACACCGCCAAATCAGCAAAATCAGAGATGAAAGGGGAAACATTACCATGGTATCTGCAAACACAAGCCCCATGCAAACTCAGGCAGACAATAACCCAGTATAGACCTGGAGAAATGAAGAGTAGACCCCAATCTTTTCTGAAGAAATGTTAGTAACTGATTGCTGCTTGATGAAGAAGAGCTGATCTTCCTAAAACAAGGGACTCTAGATAGGCTGAGTAGACTCAGTGGATGGACTTGCACTGGGGAACAGCTGGGAACACTGAAAGCACAGTTAGCCTTAACAGGGATGACAGAGTATAAGGGCCCCTTGGAGGGGTACGGGAGGGTGCCAGTGGGTATGGGGGCATAAGGTGATTGAGATTGTTTGAGATGTTCTGTAGGAAATACACAAAAAATCCAATAAAAACAAATAAAAAAGAAGTGGAGGGTGTGTTGGTAAGTAAATCTTTCATAATTGTTGGTGTGCATGTTCAGGCTTCTAGAATTCATGTACCTGCAATGTTAGAGCAATTAGAAAATGAAAAGATGTGGGAATGGTACCATGTTCTTTAATCTCAAAACTCAAGAGGAAGAGGGTTATGGATTGCAATCTCAGGGCCACTGTGCACTAGATAGTGATTTCCAGGCCATCTTGGGATATAAAGTGAGATGACCTTCCCCTAAAAAGGGAAATAAAAAAGCAAGCAAGCAAGAGAAGAGCTTGGCTGTACATATGTAAGATATTATAGAAAAAATAAGATTTTGAATAAGGAGAAAAGGACAAGTAATAAATCTTAGTCTGTGGATTTACATTTGTGATATACACAGAGACTCAGATCAGATGCAAAGCAATAAACACAACTGTAGAACAGTCTGGAAACAACTAAAGAAGGATTTTTGCAATATCAAGCAAACAGATGTGAAAACATAAAATATTATTGTTAGAATATCAGCTTATATTTGAAAGAAAATTAACAATCTTAAATGTTCAAAGCTTTTAATATTTTAAATGACAGAAATATTTCCTGTAAGCTTAAAATTGTTAGGCACTAGCAATAGACTGAATCTAAAAATGCTTTGAACAATAGTAGTAGGTGTTAAGGTTCAGATAGTCCTTCCCCTTCACCAACAGGACCCCAAGGACTTCTCATGCTCCTGAGAAAAGGGAACCTAGCTGATAAGCACCTTTGTCTTTGAAGTCAAGAGAAGCAGATTTTCTCCACTGTTTGGCCAAGACAGCAGGCTTCCCCTTTGATCTCTAAAGAGGACAGGTTTTAACAGTCCTGCTCTCTCACTCCCCCCTGTCAACTTAAAAAAAATACATCTTCCTGCCTTCTGCAGGAAGCAGAAGCCTCCCTTTTAAAAAGACCCCAGCTCAAGACCTGGGCAAACATTTTCCCTGCCCAGTAGGGAATCTGTCCCATGTGTTCCTTTGCTAATAAACCCTATTTTCATGGAGTTTTAGCTGTGCCTCATCATCCATTTGCTTGTTCGCCAACTTTTAACCTATCAGTAGGGAGGTCTTTATTTAGGAAGCAAATTATTAAATTATAAAACACAGGGTGGGACAAACATATCAATGTAGGAATTTTCTGTTCCATAGTTTCACTCAGTACTTCAAACAAGACTTCTAGAGTCCTGTGGTAGAGATGCCTTGGGGGATGGTGGGAGGTGAAGGGAGAAATAGCTGAGAGCTTGAGCCTCATGTAAGGAACAGCTCCTGGTTTTTGTTTAGACTTAGAGCACTGTGGGAGGAAGCTCCTTACTCTGCTGACAGTAATAGGTTGCAGCATCATCGGCCTCCACAGGATTAATGGTGAGGGTGAAATCTGTCCCAGACCCACTGCCACTGAATCTGGCAGGAACCCCGGATTCTAGATTGGATGCTCTGTAGATCAAGAGCTTGAGAGGCTGTCCTGGTTTATGTTGATACCAGTGCATATAATTAGAGCCATATGCAGTAACACTCTGGCTGGCCTTGCAGGAGATGGTAGCCTTCTGCCCTAGAGACAAAGCCAAAGAAGCTGGTGACTGGGTCAGCACAATGTCCGCAGTGGATCCTGAAATGATAAACACATACACCACTGTCAGAGATATATGGAAAGAATCCCAGTGGAGCATCAATGCATATGAAATCTATAGCAACAATCATGGCTCTGCTCTAATAAAATGTAACTTGGAACTTTAAAATCTATTCCAAGTGCCATTGTTCCAGTAATCAAGACCCCGAAGTATGGAAAATAGTGAATGCTCCCAGCACTTCTCTGAACACTCTTACCTGAAACCCAGAGCAACAGCACACAAGGCAGAAGAGCAGCTGACCCCATTTCTGAGAGCTGGACTAGAGGCTGCTTCTTAGGGCACTGGCAAGCTGCCTTTAAAATGCTTTGAGCAGTTTGGACTGTTGCATAATGACCCTGCATGTAAATCAGCTCAAGAAAGCTTGGGTTGGTGTTCAAAGGAACACCTGCTCTGGTTTCATCCAAAGGACGTTAAGGTTAGCAAAAGTATATCCCAAGTGATTTCGTGGTCTGCTCTGTTGAACCATGCCCTATTTTTCCTGTGGTGCCACATGGGGGGAGTGCACTTGAGTTCCAAGAGTGTTTTGGTCACCCAAAATTAAATTTTTCAGCACTATCACTGGTATTGTTTATTTTTTAAAATTGAATTTTTGTGTTTTATGCAATATAGTTTGATGGTATTTAGATTTCTTCCCCTATCCCCACATTCCCCCATCATCCCTCACCCAATTGTACAACTGCAATTTGTTCATCCTTGTCACTGGGTGCTAGAAGGAAGGACCTCACATTCTATCATAAGACATGTCTCAAAAATCAATAGGAATGGTTATGTAATTAATGTTGGATTAATCTGTAAAACATTAATCTTAAATTTTAACTTAAAAACATGCCTTGGGGGTTAAGAGTATAAGTAATCAACTGAAATGCAGTGAGGCATTTAACAATATACCCACAGATAAATACATAGCAGTAATTATAACTTTTTGAAAAATGCTATAGTTTAGGATAATTGGTCATTTATATGTGAGAGATAATTTATTGTCATATACTTTTTCATATATTTAAAAATTTATTGATACCATTTTTTGAATAAAAACAATCTTTGACAAAATCTCTTAAATGCAAAAGTCAGTTCCATGAACTCATTTTCGTATGTAAGAATTCACACATAGCCAGGAATGGTGGCGCATATCTTTATTCCCAGCACTATGAGGCCAGAGGCAGGCAGATCTCTTTGAAATTGAAGCCATCCTGATCTACATAGTGAGTTGGATTGGAGCCATTGGTAGAGACATTTTTGGGTGAACCTTGTGTAAAATTCAAGGGATGTTATATAAACCTTTGATGGGTAAGAAGGACTTAGTTCCTGATGTCCACATAGGTTTTTTTTTTTTTTTTTTTTTTTTAACTATTCAAGGGGTTGAGTGGAGCTCAGTGTTCCTCTTTCAAAGACAGCTATAGGTTACAGCTTGACTATCTTCCAAATTCTCATGAAGGCTGGTCACTAGGCTGGTGCTTTGGGGAGTAGAGGGCTAGTGGAAAGTTTTTAGGCCACTAGTCTGCTCATGGAGAAAATTATGAGAATTCTTTCTATTTTGTTTCCTGGCCATGAGATCATCAGTTTTGCTCCACCACACAGTCAGACCATGCTGTGCTGCCTCACCACAGACCCAAAGAAATAGGGCCATACTGTCTTGGAGTGGAACCTCCAAAACTGTGAGCTAAAGTTATGCTGATTGTCTCAGTTTCCCCTTTCACTATAATTCAGGCCAAGAGATATTTGTTTTCAAAACTGAATAATGTATGAAAGCACAAACTTCAGTTGATTTTAGTGAGATAATGAATTTCAGGATAATTTTCCCAGTTCTGTGAACAATGTCATTGGACCTTGATGTGTGTTACATTCAGTCTGTAGATCACATTAGTTCTATAGACACTGTCACAATCTGTGAGTGTGGGACGTCTTTCCATCTATGTCTTCTTTAACTTTACTTCAATCTGTTAATGATTTCATTAGAGGTCTTGTTTTCAATGTAGAAGTCTTTAACTTCCGTAAGTTTCTTTCTGAGCCTTTGCTTTTTGGGGATAATGTGAATGGGGTTTCTTTCCCCTGATTTCTGTCTTAGCAAGTTTGTTATTATTATATAGAAAAGTTACTGATTTTCATGTTGATTATTATTATTTTCTTTTTGAGACAGGATCTCCCTGTAGTGGAGATGATCTGGAACTCACTATGTAGACCAGGCTGGCCTTGAACTCACAGAGATCCTCCGCAAAAGCAGCTAGTGCTTTTAACTGCTGAGCCATCTCTCCAGCACCTAGGCTCTTACAATCTTTCCACCCCCTCTTCTGTAGTGGTCCCTGAGCCATGGATGGGTGAAGCCTAATAGAGGAGTCATAACCAAGGTCATACACTCTGCAGTCTCTTGTTCTCCAAAATTTAGCCAGTTGTGGCCTTCCATGTGCATCACACTCTGTTGTATAAGGAAGCTTCACTGATGAGAGTTGAGGGATGCACTAGTATTCTCTCCACTCCCTTTTCTGCTATGTTCCAAGAGTCTTAGGTGTAGTAGTTCCACTGTAGATATATCAACTAAGGCTTTTGATGGAGCCCTATGTTATCTCCCCAAACTCGAAGACAAGTATACCAAACACTACATATCAAAGAAGTTTCTTTTTGCAACAGATGGAAGTTATTGCAGAGGACAACAACTGGTCACACACAGAAAATGCACCTCAGAGAGATACCCATTAGTGCTGTCTGTGCAGTGTTTCCATTGCTCCCGGGCCTCTACTCCCCTTCAATTACTTGGCCTCCTTTTTGATTATTTTTCCATATACACACATACATTTATAAAATATACATACATATAATGCATGGAATCCATTTAGTGGTGTATATACATACATATAATGCATGGAATCCATTTAGTACTGTTCATGTACACCTGTGTTTAGGGCTGCCAACTTGGGAAAAGTTTGAAACAGGGTCTCATGTAGGCCACACAGGCCTCAAACTAACTGTGGAGAAAAGGATGACTGAAATCCTGATTTTTCTGATTCCATGCCTCAATTAAAAATTGGCATCTTTAAAAAAAAATTGGCATCTTTGATATTCACTTTAATGTACCAGTGATGTAATATGTGTGCACTATCTGGTCTTGATTACAGGTGTCTGTGGGAACAAGTGATGACCCAGTTTCCAGACTCCCTTCACATCTTCATGAGAAACAGTCACCACCAGCTACAAGGCCAATGGAGTTTCCACAGACTTCTGATTTTAAAAGCTATTTAACATGAAACCAAGAGGAACAGTGACAGACACTTAATGTTCAAAGGCATCACTGGTGACTACAGCTTCAGAGGGTGGGGGACAGATTTCACTCTCAGCAGCAGCATCTGGACAGAAGTTTTGACAGATTATCACTGTGTTGTAACCTTCTCAAAGGTGCTTCCGCCTCCAACACAGCTTTCTTTGGAGCTCAGCCTGTAAGTAAATGCCAGAAGCAGAATCTTTTTTCTCACTAGGATCCCCACACTCACACTCCCCTTTCTTGGATGAGTTGCTATGAGTCCAGCCTGTGTATGAACAGATGTGAGAGCTCAGGAGAGAATTAAAGAGTTGATGTGGTCCTTACTCTTCTTGAAGAAAATATCACCCTGCTGTAACAATTTTAGAAAATAATGTTTTTACACAGTTTTGCTTCTTTTTGGTTCCATGTTATCAGTGTGATGCTTACACACACTTACAGTGACCTGTAAATGTTTAGGTTTAAAAGCTAGTTTCAATTAGCAGAAGAGTTAGTTTGGAAACAGTTAATCAATGCTTAATTTTTCATGATAACCAACATGATTTAACCAGAAAATATTTTAATTGTAGTAACAGGAAAATAGCTAATACATTAGTATCCACCATTATTTTAAAAGCATTTTTACTAGGTTTACTTTGTTACATGGTACTGACACTACCCATGGATGTGTGCCTGAAATAGACTTAAATATATATTCCATACTCTGGTCAAACAGGCAAAGATAAATAAGTAATATATTAAGGTAGAAAAAGATGGAATCATTAAAAGCACAATTAAATCCACAAAACTTGTAAATAGGAACAAAGTATAAATTAAAAAGTATAACAAGTATGGTAAATATAATCTGACTATATCCAGGATCACCTTGAAAGTCGATGATCTGCATTCAAAGAGAGAGAAACAAGAGAGAGGGTGAGGGCACAGAAGAGGAAGAGCAAGAGGGAGGTAAGGAAGGAGTAAGAGAAGAGAGAGACAAGAAGAGCAAAAGAGAGAGAGAGATCAGCATGGAACAAAAACAAGGCCAGCATGAAGTATCAGACACATTGTGTTAAAAGTAAAAGAATGAATAAAGATGTGTTGCCACTCCTCCAAAGCAATCATAGAAGGCTATATTAGTTACCAACAGAGCAGAATTCAGAAAAAGAACTGATCAGAGATAAATAAGAGCACTACAAACCATGAGCAGAACAAATTCCTTGAGAAAACATAAAACATCCACAACATGCCAGCAAAACTTGCAGAAGATGAAAGTAGAAGTGAAGCCACTATTGTATCTGGAAAGCATGTGTCTCTTTCAGAAGACGACAATCAGTGAGGACAAAGCTGAACTCAGTACCACCAGTAACTGCACATTACATTGTGTATCTGCATGTTTTCTGGCTTTGGGGTGCTTAGCATACAGAATGATTCTTCTAAGTTAATTTTATTTACATTTGGCTGCAATTTTCTATAATGATTTGGAAAGTAAAATGGTAGTGTTAACGCTTGACTCCATTAACAGAAGAATAAGTTGGTACCTGTTTAGTAATAAACTCGTTTGCTTCAAATTTAAAACCTTTCTCATCCAATAATTTGTAAATGTTTATTATGCTGTTTCTACTATCTCAGAGTTTTAGAAATACTTTACTGGCACCAAAATATCTGATATTATTATTAATATTGTTATAAATTAAATTTAAATGTTAAATATTAAGTAAATTACTGTTGTGGTATCCAAAAGATAAATTTGTAAAGCTATTTTGTTATGATTGTCTTAGCAAAATGAGAAATTTATAATAATTAATAAGCATACTTTTATATTCCACTAAATGAAAGAGAAGTTTTAATGGTAAAGATAGAAACATGGAGCTGGAAATGTGGCCCAGTCAATAAAGTGCTTGATACACAAGCATATGAACCTGTATTTGTTCATACAAACCTGTATTTGTTAAGAATCCTTTTAATCTGCTGAACATGACTGCATCTGCCTATAATCCTAGCCCTGGGTAGAAGAGACAGGTGGATCTCTGGGACTTGATGACCAGCTAGGCTAGCTCTTTCAGTGAACTTCCTGTTTGAGACCCTGTCTCAAAACAATAATGTAAGAAGAGATAGAGCAAGATACGAAACATCAATCTCAGGTCAGCACACACACACACACACACACACACACACACACACACACGCACTCATGCACATATGGAAAGAAGGCAGAAACTTGAATTGTGGGTTATAAAGGGTGAAAATCAGGTTGGCATAACTGACTTTCCCTCTTTAGAGATCTTGCCAGTGATTTTGTTTATTCACAAAGATGACATCTTGTATAATCTAAAAACACATAAAAGTTATGATAATAAATTAAATCATATGTAACTAACAAGCCAATTAGTCTAGATTATAATATTATTTTTAAACTTTTATAATGACTGATACACTTGTCCATGAATGTATTAGGTAGAATTTGTCAAGAATTATTTTCTGCTGATTTTCTTGCATTCTTAACCTTCACGATGCATTTTAAGTTTAAAACTTTTAAGAATAATGTTTCAAAACTCAATCTTACATCAGTTATATAGACATTCCAGAGGTTTTGTGTCAGTGTGTCTTGTCACAAAGGAGGACTTGGATTTCTCATTTCTAGCTTCCAGTGCCAAGAAAGAGAGAACAAGCTGAAATGGGGGGTGGGGGGAGGGGCAGGCTAGGTGTTGCCCTACTCTAAATTAGATCCAATGGGATGTCTTCTCTGACTCCAAGCGTCCTGGGGCCCCATTAATGGAATTTAGAACAGTGAATGGGAAGAGCCTGTTCATTCACAGTGTAGAACTTCATTTGTTAGTTTAGGACCCCAAGCTTCATTTCCATTCCACGGTCATGATTCTCAGCCTAACAGCGCCTGATGATGAGATTTCTACATTTGGCTTAAAAGCCTCATAGCATCATCGATTCCCCCATTGTAATCTCACCACTCCTCCTCCTTTTATGTAATTCAGTTGCCTTCTCTGTTTTCTAAAATCACAACGCATTTGAAAAGCACAATAGTGTTGAATGACCAAAAGGCTCCTGAAAATAGTGGACTTTCCACAGTATACTCTTCTGTATAGCACCTCAAAAATACTAGGGGGGGGAGAGATTCAACAGAACAGACACAAAAAATGTACTTGAGATAATCCAGCAGAGTATTTGTTAGCCCTAGCTCCCTGTGAGGTAAACAAGAGCAGGTATCCCTTGGAGGATCAACCAAAACATTTTTGAGCTGATTTGCATGTTCAGTCATTAGATGATGGTCCAGGTTCCTCAAAGCATTTTAAATGCAGCTTGTCAGTATCCTAAGAAGCAGTCTCTAGTTCTGCTCTTTAGAGATGGAGTCAGTGACTCTCTTGCTAGGGGTGCTGCTGCTTTGGGTTCCAGGTGAGAAGATGCAGATGAGTGTTGGGAGCATTTCTGCAGACATTGCTGTTTCTCACTTCTAACCTCTTGATCATTTGAATTATGAACTTTGTAATTCATTTTAAGATTCTCACTGCTCTTTCATTTTCTGGTGGCCTATGATGCCTGTGACTATTACTACAGATGTTATGTTCAATTGTCCTACCCTGGAGTGGTCTCATCATGTCTGTTAAAGTAGTTTTGGGTGTGTTTTATCATTCTAGGATCCACTGGCGACATTGTGCTGACCCAGTCTCCAGCTTCCTCAGCTGTTTCACTAGGACAGAAGGCCACCATCTCCTGCAAGGCCAGTCAGAGTGTCAATTATTATGGCGTAGTTAATTTGATGCACTGGTATCAACAGAAACCAGGACAGCCTCCCAAACTTCTAGTCTATGGTGCATCTAAAATAGCATCTGGGGTCCCTGCCAGGTTCAGTGGTAGTGGGTCCGGGACGGATTTCACCCTCACCATTAATCCTGTGGAGGCCGATGATGGTGCAACCTATTACTGTCAGCAGGGTAAGGAGTTTCCTCCCACAGTGCTCTAGGTCTGAACAAAAAGCTCCTGGGGTTGCTGTCATGGAGAATGAATCTGTCAGATCTCATTTCCCCCACAACCTCTGGACTACGGTCTGTGGAATGCCTCTTCAAAGAAGAAGTGAAAGTAATCTGATAGTGTGTTTGTTCCTTCCTGTGTTTTATAATTAAAGTACTACATATATTTATCTATGCTGCTATTCCTTAGAGCACGTTTTTAGATCCAATCTTTGTTTGCTTAGTGAACTATTTTTAACTTAAAGGAAACTTTTTTCATTCATTTGAAAGAAAGCAAATTGAAAATCTTTAAGGTTTTAGTTTTCTGTCTTTCAGATAGACTTTCATTTGAAAACTAATTTATTATTTTTCATGATTTCCACGTGATTGAATTTATAAAACTTCCTTTGTAATTGTGTAGAAATGCAATTCTCTGCTGCGGTTACTTTTGCTTCTTCGATTCCTATGTCAGTACCTCTGTTTCCATTCCAAAAGTAAATGTCTTTATTTTAGATTTCTTTCATGTTCTTTTCTCCTTATCCAATATTCATATATTGTTCTGTTTTTTTTTATCTTTGTGTGTCTATGATGTGTCCATGTTTACAAGTGTGCATGTCTTTGGATATAAGTGCAGGTATGGGTGTGCAACAGCACCCAGGTGGATGTCAGAGGACAACCTATTGTGTTGGTCCTGGAATTTGAGCTTGTTTGAGGTAGGAGACTTTTGTGGTTCCTGCCTCGCACACAGGCTGGCTTGCCTGAGATTATAGAAATTCTCCTATCTCCATATCCCATCTCATCATTAGAGCTCTTGAATTATAGACACTTGGTACCACACCCAGATTTTTTTAGATGATTTCTGGGGATTCAAACAGTTCCTCACATTTGAGCAGCAACAGGTTTACCTACTGATATATCTATTCAGTCCTAATGGATTTTTTCAAGCACTATATTGAACAGGAGTGGAGAGAGTGAATACACTTGTTTGTTCTTGACTTTAGTGAAAATACTATTTGTTTTTTTCCATTTAGGATGATATTGGCTATGACCTGGTTATAAATTTCCTTTATACTATTGAGATATGTCCTCTGTACCCTTAGATTCTCCATGACTGTTATCATAAAGGGGTGCTGGATTTTTGTCAAAGGCCCTTTCTTCTTTTTTTTTTTTGTCTTTTTGTTTTTGAGAGAGGGTCTCCCTGTAGCCTCAACTGTCCTGGAACTCACTATGTAGACCAGGCTGGTGATCACATAGTTTCTATCCTTGAGACTGTTTATGTGGTGAACTGCATTTATTGATTTACCTGTGTTGATCCATCCCTGCACCTCTGAGATGAATCTGACTTGATCACAGTGGATGATTCTTCTATATGTTCTTGAGTTCGGTTTCCCAGTATTTCATTGTGATTTTTTGCATCTATACTCATCAGGGAGATTGGGCTATGGCGTCCTTTTTGTTGGGTCTCCATATGGTTTTGGTATCATGGTAATACTGACTTTATAAAACAAAATGAAAGTCTGCCTTCATTTTCCATTTTATGTAAGTATTTGAGGAATATTCGTATTAGTTCTTCCTTGAAGGTCTGGTAAAACTCTGTGCTGTTATCCATCTGATAGTAGGAGATTTTTATTGGGAGATATAATATCATTGATGGCTAGATATGATTCTTAGGGGTAGCAAAAGATGGATGCCATTTTCTATTCTAACCAGCTATTATGCATATTCACTGGGGAACTGAGTCCATCAATATTGAGTTATTAGTAAAAGAGGTATATTAGGATCCTTGCTCAGCCAAGATCTTTGTACCAGCTATGGTGTGTTCCCTCTGCCATCTAAGCTCCCAAACCTGCTCAGGCCACTGAGACCCTTGCCTACCGCAGACCTGTGAGCTCTCACAGTCCTGCTGTGGTGAGTTTCCTCCACTATCTCAGCTCTCAGAGCTGCTTGGGTCACTGAGAACCTTGTCCACCCCAGATCTGTTTGCTGCCTGAGCCCTACAATGGCAAGTCCCTTCCACCATCTTAGATCTTGGGCCACCACACAAATTCATATGTCTAGATCTCTCTCAAAAAATACATGAATAGCCCAAGATAAGTGTTTGCTCCAGAAATTAACCACCATATCATAATGATTCCCGAGAATGGGAACCTACCAGATGTGCCAACAATGATTTCAAAATAGCTATTATAATCAAGCATCTCAAAGAGGATATGAAAAAAGACTGAATAAAGACAGGGAAAACACAAACATTTAAATAAAATAATGAAAGCTATTCAAAAGTGCAAATTAGGATTCAATAAAGAGACAATCTCTTTACAGAGTATGTGTACCTGTATTAAACTTCACCCACCCATGACTCAGGGAACATTGCAGAAGAGGGGGATGAAAGACTGCAAGAGTCAGGATTGGTCCATGAACATAGGGTAACAGACCACTGGAAGCTTTCACCTGTGAACTTTCAGCAATGGTGGCCTTGAGGACAGGTCCCAGGCCAACTCAATCAGAAAAGGACCCAGAGTGGAGCGAGGGAAATGGGTAGCAGGAGGCCCTATCCTAGGAACTGCCAGAGTTTGATTACTACTGAGTGAGGGAGAGTAGACCTTCCTTAAGATCTCTAGATGGGATGACTAGACTCTAGTGGATGAATTTGCAGCCAAAGCACATCTGGTTACACATGCTTGACCTGATAAGACATAACATGTATGTGAAATGCATGAGGTCCGTGGGGTGGGGCTGTGAAGGCACTGATTGGGGGTGTGAGTCTGTTTGATTAAGAAATGTACCAAGCTCAATTAAAAAAAAATTTAACAGTCTCCAAATTTAAGCCAAATTGAAGTAAAACTTCGAATGAATAACACAAAGTTTAAAAACACCTAGACGAAATAAGCAAAAAGGAAGAGGAAAAATGGAAAAGAGTTTATGAGATCTTGAAGACAAGCTTTGAGAAATGAATCATTCAATCAAAGAAAATGTTATATAAAACATAACCCAAGAACAGTCTATACAAGACTCTGGGACACTGTCCAGAGTCTTCTGGACACTTATATATGAATATATAAGGAGAGGAAACCCATGTCAAAGGTAAAAAAATAATGTTAATAAAATTATGGAGAAAACTACCCAAGTAGAGAGAAAGAGATACCCACCAAATAAAAAGGACACAGAGAACACCAAATACACAGAACCAGAAAAGAAACTCCCCACATCATATAACAGTAAAACATTAAATGCACAGAACAAGGAAAAGATGCTGAAAGCTGTGAATGATCGAGTCAAATATAAAGCCAGGTCCATCAAGATAACAACTGACCTTTCAGTAGAGGCTATGAACACCAGAAGAGCTTGAACCCATGTCCTGCAATTAGGAAAGAACAGAGATTCAAGAGTATACTAATATACTTGGTAAAACTTTCAGTTGTAATTGAAGGAGAAAGAATATTTCCATTGTAAAAATAAATCTAAGGAATTCATGTCCACGGAGCCAGCTCTGCAGAGAATACTCAAAGGAATACTTGGGTCAGAAGAGAAGATTGAATGCTCTCCAATGGGAAAAAGAATAAATAAATCATTCTTGAGCAGTTAAAGAAAATAGGTCTAAGAAAATAACACTACAGCATCAACATGACAGAAATTAACGAACATTGGTCAATAACATTTCTCAATTTTAAGGTCTCAATGCACCAGAAAAAAAAAGAAAAGAAAAACGACACAGACTGATTGGATTAGAAAACAGAATCCACTGATTTGATGTCTCCAAGAAATACATCTCAATATCAATGAGTGACACCACCTCAGGGTAAAAGGATGAGAACTATATTCAAAGCAAACAGATCTGAGAAACAAGCACATGTGGCTGTTCTAATATCTGACAAAGTAGACTACAAGTTTAAACAAGTCAGAAGAGATAAGGAATGTCACTTTGTACACATTAAATTAAAAATACACCAGAATATATTATAATTCTAAACATACATGGACCAAACACATAAATATCCAGTTTCATAAAAGAAACTCTATTAGATCTAAAATCACAGATTGACTCCAACACAATAATAGTAGGTGACTTCCATACTCCACTGTCAGCAACAGACAAATCAGCCAGACAATAACTGAATAGAGAAACTCTGGATTAATGACATGATAAATCAAATGGATGTAACGTATATCTATAGAACACTGCACCCAAACAACAAAGAATACATTTTTTCTCAGAAGTCCATGAATCTTTGTACAAAACTGACCATATATTAGGACACAAAAAAAATCTCCACATTTAGAAAAAATGAAATATTCTTTAGGCTACCTGAGCACAAAAAATAATAAAACTAGATACCACCAACAATGGGAAAAACTACACTAACTGTGCAAACTAAACAGCACACTCCTATTGAAGTAAAATTGGATCAGAGATAAATCAAGAGGGAAAATTTTAAATTCTGAGAAATAAATGAACAGAAAAAACAACATACCAAATTATATGGGACACAATAAAGGCAGTTATAAGAGAAGAATATATAGTATTGAGTGCCTACTCCAGGAAACTAGAAACATCTAATATAAATAAACTTATGATATATCTGAAGGACTTAAAAAACTAAGGAAAAACAACACCTAAAGAAGAGTAGATGGTAAGAGATTAAAGTCAACATGTAAATTACTGAAATATAAAGGAAGAAAATAATACAAAGAATCAAGGAAATGAAGAGTTGTTTCTTTGAAAAGATTTATAATAATGAAAAACCACTAGCAAATTAGCCCAAAGAAAGAGAGGAAACAATTAATAAACACGGAGAAGAAATGGGAAACATTACAACAGACCTGGAGGAAATTCAGAACAATATAAGAGCATACTTTTCCACTAAACAAGAAAATCTAAAAGAAATAGATAAATTTCTACATAAGTATGGCCTACAGAAGTTACATCAAAATGGCATTTAAACAGACACATAACAACCAACATGACAGATACAGTAATGAAAAATCTCCCCACCAAAAATAGCCCAGGACCAGATGG